TACACCAAGGTTTAGCTAGCGGTGTTAGCGGCGTGACGTATAGTGAATGGAACAACATGTAGTTGTAGACATTAGTGGAGTGGAGTGATGTGTAGTGATTAGAACTACGGTATTATGGAGTGGCTTGTGTTGAATGAAAAACTGTATAGATTCTATTTGTTAGTAGCGTGAAGTATAGTGATTGGAATCTTTCCATGCTAATATTTCACAGTTATTCATGTTGTTTTTAGCTTCACTGTCATTGAAGATTACAGAGCGGAGCTGTTGATATAAGTGATTGTCTTTTATTGTCCATCAACATTTTTCAACTTCTTCATGAAAACTACTGGTACGAGCTCAATTGTGTTGATACTTGGTATGTAGGTACATGTACCTTGGGTGGACCTCTGTCAGTTTAGTTCATTTTATTTCTATTTGTAGTGAATATTTTTGATAAAAAAATGCCTTTTTCCACTTCTTCTTAAAAACTACAAGATCAATTGCTTTGGTATTTGGTTTGTAGGTAGCTTGGATGGACTTGGATGAGATTTGTAACAAGGTGCATGTGACAATTGTAATTGCCATGGCAACAGCCAAATAAACTTCCATGGTTGTGATAATAACCATAGCAAATAGTTAATATCTCAATGTATAGAACATCATCAACTTTGTTTTGAAGAAGATACTCTACAAAGACAGCGGAGCTATTTTGACTGCTTGTTTTGATATGTATTGTCTGTTTTTAGCTACTATCGGTATTAGTGATGATATGCAAACAAAAAACTGAACACTAATGTCATCTATTTGATTAATTGGAAATCATTGATCTTTTTTTTTTAATAAAAAATTGGAGCTTTCATCAGCAAATAATGATTAGCATGCATGCAGACAGAACAAGTGTAGCCAAGATTGAAAAAGACGTTGGCTTCATTTTTATAAATTTATTATTCTGTATAAGCACATCTGAAGATGTCAATCAGTTTACACTCTGACACAGTGCTATAATGATTCATTGTCTGATTTAGTAAATCCAACACTCGTCCATTCATTAATATGGGATTTTTTGCAGGTGTGAAAGTCATTAAAACTGATTTTAATAATTGAACTTTACAAATGATTGCCCCTAGCATTAAATATTAATCAACTTTAATACTTGCCTGCTTTCAAAATTCTATTGTTAGAATTTATTTTTTTACTTTTTGAGATAATATCCTAAATAAGTCTATTTCTATCAAGTTCCCGTGCTAGTTTTT